GTATTCCCATCTCTTTCAGAATTTTCCACAGTTTATTGTGATCCACACAGTCAAAGGCTTTGGCATAGTCAATAAAGCAGAAATAGATGTTTTTCTGGAACTCTCTTGCTTTTTCGATGATCCAGTGAATGTTGGAAATTTGATCTCTGGTTCCTCTGCCTTTTCTAAAACTAGCTTGAACATCTGGAAGTTCACGGTTCACGTATTGCTGAAGCCTGGCTTGGAGAATTTTGAGCATTACTTTACTAGCGTGTGAGATAATTGCAATTTTGCAGTAGTTTGAGCATTCTTTGGCATTGGCTTTCTTTGGGATTGGAATGAAAACTGACCTTTTCCAGTCCTGTGGCCACTGCTGAGTTTTCCAAACTTGCTGGCATATTGAGTGCAGCACTTTCACAGCATCATCTTTCAGGATTTGAAATAGTTCAACTGGAATTCCATCACCTCCAGTAGCTTTGTTCACAGTGATGCTTCATAAGATCCCCTTGACTTCATATTCCAGGATGTCTCACAAGGATGGGTCCTTAAAATCTGTTGTTGTGCCAAGACAAGACATCAAAGTTCTCCATCTACAGATATCCCTATATCCCTTCACTTTCCAGAAAGTTTTAAACGATACAGGCAAAACTCTGTCTCTAAAAGTACAGCAGACTAACCAGAAAGGAAATTGGAGTCCAGGTTGTAATAAATAATTTGTAATTTAAAAATAACGAATATTTCTTCACCAGGGTGAGAGTTACTTAAAGGCAGGAGCTATATCCCCTTAGGGGAGGAAGAAGACACATGGTTTAAGGAGAGGTTTAAAGTCAGGCAGAACTGGCTCAAAAGTCTGCCTTTGTGTCTTTCTGGCTTTGTGATTTGAGCAAGTGACTTAACTACTCTAAACCTTAGTTTCTTCATGGATACAACGGAAATAATAAAGACCAGAGGCTTTTCACTGAGATCACGCGTTCCATAATGTGGCCATTCAAGTTTGATGGAGTTCACTGGTTTTACCTGGTCTGTTTCACATTGTTGCTCTGAAGGCTGAAAGCAGAGCCACACCCTAACTAGGAAAATCTGAAATTCCATGTAGATAACCGATTACAGTGGCTCTACCTACCTTCCTTCCGTTTGTCTCACCCCTAAGGTAACATGCAGCCCCTCCATAGTGAATATCCCCAGTATTTACAATTCTAAGCAACAAGCCTGAGCTTCTTTCCTGGACCAAGAGCTTTGCAGTTTTTTGAGCAGTGGTGTCCTTTGAAAATATCTTAAAGTGTTCTAGTAACCACTTTAAAAGAGTAAAATAGTGAAATAGGTGAAATTCTTTCAATTATATAGCTCAGTGTATTTGAAATATTATCATTTATGTATGTAGTCAGTATATGAATTTATTAATGACATAATTTATATTTTTCCATTCCAGGTCTTCAAAATATGGCACGTGTTTCACACTTATAGCCATGAAGCATCTCTCTAGCCAAAAAGGAGGAAAAGCTCTAAAAAGAAGAAAGAAAATAATGTAGACTGTACCAGTGGAAGAATGTTTGTTCCCCTTTCACAGCCTTCATGGGCAAGTTTTGCTGTACACATTGCTGTTGTGAAAAGCAAACCAACCCAAAAACATATGGCCTCCTGCAAGACAAGAAGTAAAAGGTTTGCTGCCGTAACAGAGTCAAAGAGCAGATAGTACAAGATGGGAAGGACTATTTTCAGATTCAACAATTGGTGTAGAATCTGGACAAAGTTGGAAAGCAGAGTATAAAAACTAGGTAACCCGCAAATCTCACCTATCGGTTTTAAGAATTTAATAATGCTGTGGATGAAAAATGTTGCACATGAAGTATTTAGGAAACTTACAGTATCAGTGTTTGATGCATTTGTTATATAGCATATTCTAGCAATTTAGATATCTTACTATAATGTCATATGAATTCTTGGTTATATTATAAATTATAGAAGCATTATTAAAGGCTAGAGTTGATAAAACTCTATTTATTAATACTCAAAGTAATGAAATGTGTAGATTATGATTCAATACATCTAAGCACTTAATGCCTAGAGAATAAAAAGTACTCAATATTTATGAATAAAGTTTTGTGTAAGCCATTTTCATATTACCTCGTATCACGTAAAGGTCCTGTTTTTGGATATAGCTATGAAATTTTATGGGCTTCGCCAGTGGCTCAGTGGTAAAGAATCTGCCTGCAATGCAGGAGACACCAGAGATGTGGGTTCAGCCCCTGGTCAGGAAGATCCCCTGGCGAAGGACATGGCAACCCATTCCAGTATTCTTACCTGGAGAACCCCAAGGACAGTGGAGCCTGGCAGGCTACCTTCATGGAGCCATAAAGAATCAGACACAACTGAAGCAATTGAGTGTATGTGCACACATGTAATTTAATATATGGTATGTGTGTGGGAAGGTATGTGTTGGAGGTGATTTAGCAACAGATATCCTTGTATTTCATCTTGCACAACTGGCTGCCTGCTTGAAGCACTGCTTAACCTCTCAAAGCCTGGGGAGGAAAGCGTT